ACTGGAACAGTGGTCAACTACATGGGAGTCCAGCGACATAGCCATTAGGCCAACTGCTGGTCCTGGTCCTAGAATTGTAGGCTTCTAGCCTCCCATTTGGAATCCCAGCACAAGAGCTGAGATGAAGTAAGGTACCCTGAGCACTTACTCCTTGCGGGCATGTGCCGGGGCACTCACGCGGAGGCCACTGACTGCCGAGGCCAACCCCAGGAAGTAGGTCCTCACTCTCGCCATAACGGCTGAGAAGCAGGCTTAGACGGGCTGAAAGGCCCAAGTCCCCTGCTGGTGAGCAGCAGTGTCCTGCCTGCACAGGTCCTAGGTGCTAGGCAGACACCCACCAGCTCACACGGCTTAGAGCCCCAGGGCATTCGAGTCACACGTTTCTCCTGTTTTGAAATATTAGATATTAAACGCCAGTCTGGACACCACCTCTGTGGACACGTGACCCACCCCCACCCTCGAGCAGGATTCCCATGTCAGCACCCCAGCACACAGTTATCCACACACTGCTTGTACACTCTGCAGACAGGACCCTCCCTCCCATCACTGGCCCGAGTCCCAGGCTGGCTTCGGAGGTGAGCCTGGGGAGGAAGCTATCCCTAGGCTCTGCCGGGAGATGGGGTGCTCAGTGCCCTGCACCCCATCTCTGCAGTCCGTGTTCACCTTGGGAGCAGCGGCCGGCGGCCTCAGCGCCATGATCCTCAACGACCTCGTGGGCCGGAAGCTCAGCATCATGCTCTCGGCCGTCCCCTCCGTGGCCGGCTACGCACTCATGGCCGGGGCCCGTGGCCACTGGATGCTGCTACTGGGGAGAACGCTGACAGGCTTCGCTGGAGGGCTCACAGCTGCCTGCATCCCGGTAGGGACCCCCCCAGCCCCACCAAGCCTGTGGCCACTGAGATAGGTTTGCCTTCCCCTGCAGTTGCCCATGCCCACTGGGACAGCTAACACTGGGGAAGTCCATGTCCTTAGCTGTCCCCACCCTGGACTCTCCAAACTTCCTACCCTATTTCTTGACCACAGTAGATGCGTTGCTCAATTGGAGAAAATTCACATTGAGCAATGGGTGGGAAGGGGACAACCCAGCCCCATATCCTCCCTGGGCCCCATGTCCTCCAGCGTGCCACATGTACCCAGGGGGCTGGCCTGGCCAGCCGGGGTGGGGATGGGGAAGTCCCTGGGAGGTACAGACTCGCGGGCTCAGGCCTGGCATCGGGGTGCCCTCCAGCCTCCGTAGTCCCAGCCTCACACCACCCACTTCAGAGCCGAGAGCTTCTGCCCACCCTACAGTTGAGCTGAAGCTGGAGGTCACGCATGACCAGGAGAAGCCCCACTTCCCAAGGTCCGAGGGGGCTGCCTCTCCATCCCATCCAGGCCCAGGAACTGGCCTTCCCACCGAAGCCTGGAGGGGTGGTGTGTTTTGCAGGTATATGTGTCTGAGATTGCTCCCCCGAGTGTCCGAGGGGCCCTGGGGGCCACGCCCCAGCTCATGGCAGTGTTTGGATCCTTGTCCCTCTACGCCCTAGGCAAGTATCCAACACCTCCTTAGGGCAGCTTGGGGAGCGACCAGCGGGGCTGGGCAGGTGGGGACGGAAACGCAGGCTGGGAGGCAGCATATCCCCAAGTCCTGTCCTGCTTGGTCACCACCTGTAGGCAATTTCCTGGCCCTCCCTGGTCACAAGGCCCCATCCCTGACCTGCAATCCAGGCTTCTGGACAGTAGCTCTCACCATCTTCTGGTTACAGACACCGCCATTGAATTCAGTCTTGGGTAGGAAGTCCATATAGCAAAGAGGTCAGAGCACGACCAGGTGGGGAGGGACTGAGTGAATGCTCAGGCCTTGCCTGTCCAGCCTACCCTCCCCTCACACTGCCGTGGCCCTCAAGGCCCTCCAGGGCCCTCCACAATGTTCTGGGCCCTATGCCAGGAGAGAGCAACCCCTGCAACCCTTCTCTGACAGGATCTCAGAGGGCTGGGGCAATCAGGACGGGCTTCATATAGGAGGTGACTATTGGACTAGACCTTGAAAGGCTGGTGAGGTTGCTCAGTGGCTTCATAGGAAAGCGCTGTCCAGCCTGGACCACAGCCCTCACCCTCCTTTCCCCCAGCCCTCCTGCTGCCGTGGCGCTGGCTGGCAGTGGCCGGGGAGGGGCCCGTGCTCGTCATGATCCTGCTGCTCAGCCTCATGCCCAACTCGCCCCGCTTCCTGCTCTCACGTGGCCGTGATGAGGAGGCGCTGCAGGCACTGGCCTGGCTGCGCGGGGCCAACACCGACGTCCACTGGGAGTTCGAGCAGATCCAGGACAACGTCCGGAGACAGGTGCCCACAGGCCCACGTCCGCGCTCACAGCTGTGTGGCCTGTGCTGGTCCCCAGGCCTGCCCCAGCCTTGGCTGCTCCTCTTAGAACATGGGACTGCGGTAGCTCCCGAGCTCCGATCTGAGCACACGGCTGTGCGCCTGAGGCTGGCTGCTCCCTGGAGGAGGGAAGGCCCCCGCGGGCTGACACCAACACCCCCAGCCCCCTCAGCACAGCCTCCTGTTTTCAGAGCAGCCGAGTGTCGTGGTCAGAGGCCCGGAACCCCCACGTGTACCGCCCCATCCTCATCGCAGTGCTGATGCGCTTCCTACAGCAGCTGACAGGCATCACCCCCATCCTCGTCTACCTGCAGCCCATCTTCAACAGCACCGCCGTCCTGCTGGTGAGCCTCCGCAGGCTGGCCCCCACTCCGCAGGTCGGCCCCCACGAGGCCTGCTCCCAAGTCCCCAGCCCTTCCTGAGCCCCTGCGTGGTGCTGCAGCAAGAGCCAGACGGCACGCCACATGGAGGCCACCGGGGCCTGAACTGCCTGCCACACACCTGTTCTCAGGATCGTCTTGTTAAGTTTAGGTGTTTCAAAATAGAATGTAAAGAAATGAGACTCCTCGAGACTGTGGAGGCAGGTTCGGAGCCCCTGAGTCCGCTGCCACTCAGTGAAGGACGCCCTCCCCTCC